CTGAAAAGAGGAAAAACCAAAGTGAAGTATGTTCTTACTTCACTCAGTCATTTATTTACTTTATAACAGTAAATAAATATCGGTTCTGCATATCGGTTATCGGGCACATAAACACGCAAATAATTGGTATCGGTTATAAAATATCAATATCGGTCGATCACTATTTTTGACAGGGTAAAAAGGGTGTTGTTTTACACTACCATTGAGAATTTTTAACCAAAGGATGTTATAGACTTTTCATGAAGACCCTAAAGAATCATATCAACTTGTGGAAAATGGGCATCCGATGTCCCCTTTAAAACAATATTCACAAAACCTTTGACTTAAAATGTGATGCATTTTAGGGTGTAATGCACATATTTATGAAATGGTGATACTTGAAATCTGTTTACCCATCATTTGGGTCAATACTCTCCACAGGCCCATATCCAGGACTGGGCAGTGGGCAGCCCATGTGCGAGCTGTTGGCCATCTTTGGTTGAGGCGGCAGGTTTTGTTGTGGGTTCTTCCTGTGTGCTTTCACTGCTGCCAGACGCTCGTTCTCTCTGTCGCACACAAAACACTCAAACCCGTTCAGGTAGTTTGGTTTACTCATGTCGTTGACGCCCCACTCTCTGCTCTCCAGCCCCTCCAGCAGACGCAGGTTAGTTATCTTGCTGGGAGTTTTGTACTCCAGATAGCGCGAGTACTCCGCGTCGTCTTGATCCAGAGTCTTTATGAACTCCGCCAGATCCCGTGGAGAGGGGAAATCGTCAATGAGGATAGCAGAATGATTGTTCGGCAGCCAGTCGGCCACCGATGACGAGCCCCTGTAAATGGGCACACAGCCCTGGTGCATGGGCCGCCACAGCTTCTCCGTCATGTAGTCGGGACACAGGCCGTTCTCCAGGGCCAGGTGGAACTTATAACGACCGACGAAACTCATGAAGCGCCTGTCTTCACCAGTGGCTGTGCTGGTGTCCTCCAGATAGTCAGGCAGGGGTTTGTTATTAAGGCACTTCCCATACGAGTCAATCTGAAGAGAAGACAAATTATGATGATAATTTGGATTTTAAGACCAAAGTATACTTTGTTTTTCATATATGCGCATAGCTGAACATATAGCCTTTCAAAATAAACTCTTGATAGCATGCATAAACACAGGCACTTGACACATGCACAACTAGAAAGTTCCTCATCCAGTGTCTGCACTATTTCTCTAATGAGTGATTAAAAAATGACTTTGTACTCGTTTATACTGGTTTATCTTTTCACACAAGTGCTCAAATGCAATGCGGGCTTCTTTTGTTGCTGTGTCTCAAGTAGGGCTGCAACAAACGATTATTTTGATAATCGATTAATCTAACGATTATTTAGAACAATTAATCGACTACTCGTCGATTATTCCGCTGGTTAATCAGTAGACATTGATTGATTATTCAGCTTTTGCAATTAGTTAAAATATTGAGTTATACATATTCTAACAAATAAATGAAGGTAATCACTTCAGCTTTTGAAAGTCATATTATGTAATTACAGTTATACAATTAATTTATACAAATAAATATACTTGGCGCACAAAATGAGATGGCAGAGAAACTCTCTTATTCACCATTTAATTAGCTATATGAAAAAGTAGCCGAATGACACATCATTCTGCCTAAAATATCTTTTTGTAAGTCATATGGATAAGAAACAAAATAAAGGTTAAGTGATAAGCCATTTTATTTTTGGATAAACTAATATTCACAACATAATCTCTCTTAAAATACCTTATAGTGTTATGATAATCAAAACAGTCCTGAGCTAGCTCAAGCTTTGATCTCTGCAAACCAAACTACAACTTTAATGAAATGGTTTTTTCCCCACTAATAAAAAGATTTTATCATTTGCTAGCTCCACACTGGAGAGCTGCATTATAACAGAAAATCAAGTTGTAATTCTAACTGGAAGCGACACTGACTCTGGTTTTATGTTTAATAATACTCTAAAGCTGCTTGATTTAAGGCTATCTATTGCATAAAGTACTATACAAATAAACGAGACGTGACTGGACTTTACTGGAGTACTGAACTGCAGCGCTCGTGCAAACATCCACATCGCTGTAATCAGATGCGTTTTAAACTGCTTTCTCACCGCTGTCACAGTTTTTGATGTGTTTATTTTGTTATTGAGAGGAAAGCGCAGTATATATTGACATATCCATCCAAACGCCGCTCAGCAGCCTCAGGTTCGGCTGCGTTTGCTCTGAAGCGCTGCCGCTGCGTCTTCTTCTCTTGATTTGCATCAGGAGAGCTGAATTACAGTCTTGCGCTACAGCGCCACACTGGTCAAACCGCATTATTGAAGGATCTTACATTAGGTCATATGAAATCAAACTATTTGTCGACAATTTTTTATTGTCGACGTTGTCGATAATGTCGACTAATCGTTTCAGCCCTAGTCTCAAGTAGTTTCTTATTGTTCCTTCTGTTCATTAAAATTTTTGAC